GAAACTCATATATTAACTATGACCACATATCGCAGTCGGAACCGGAATTGTGAAATACGGAATATGGATGTATTTACCACCTTTGCCCGTTGCATTTCCATTGGACGCAAATGATACAATCGCTATACCAAATCCGATCAGGGCCCCCGGGTTACGATTCCCCGATTGCCCCCAGCGGCTTTTGGCGGCTGGGGCCGGAGAACGGAGTAGGCCGGTGTGATAACCTTCAATTTATGCCGGACTTGCCTACACAAAAGTCAGAGACGCGAGACAGCTCGGCTAAAAATAATAATAAATACCTCATCCCACGTTCTAAGCTCTATTCTTCGGATCCGGATGGTGGGGCCGTTAAACGATCCATCGACTACTGAGGTAGTATGTCGCGTCTATGGTGGATGTTTGAGATAATAGTGCGAAGTACGGAGTACAGGTACACAATATACAATAATCTACAGTGGGAACGAGGTCGTAGAGAGCCAATGCAACATCTTCGAGTTGTGCATTCTTTTGGGGGGGGGGTTATCATTTCCTCTTCTCGGCGCTCATCCCGCTTGGTCCGAAGGGGGGGCCATATCCGTCTTAGGGCGATCCGATCCGGAGTGCGGAGAATGTTTTACTCTTTTTATTTTTTATTTTTATTCTCATTAACTATAAGGATGGGAAGGAAAAAAGATCTAAGCATTAATTATAGGCTGATTCTTCAAGGGTATAAAGACGTTACAAGCCCTGGGGCAGATCATTGCAGATTAAGTAGACTAAGCAGGGTGGTCAATATGCGCATAGATGAAAGACCGGGGTGTGCCAACTTTAATTTGGCAGTTGAATCCCGGTCGAAAAAGGAGAAAGCCTTTAGCCTGGGCACCTCGGCATCTGGACATCGATGGATCCACGCAGCCAAACGTAACCATGGGCGCCCGCCAAGCGGCTAAGACTATCAAGACTTGAAGCTGACTCCCCGGCTCCGTCCAGCTCAACCCGCGATCTACTAGATTGTGGCTTGTCGCCCCTCAATTGCCCCATGTCTATTGGTGTACCCATGTTTCCATTTCCATGCTCGGCCGAGCGTTGATATTGAGTAACCGGACATACCGGTATCGAAATCTTCCCGGTTTCCGATCAGGACGTATCTCCCCGGAATTCGGAATGGCTGGTTCATACAGGAAAATTTCAAATTTGAGCTAGCTGGAGGTAGGTCTGGAGGTGAAGGGAGACAGCTCGTCTGCATTGCTGTAGCTGCAAGAAGCAAGGGTTACACCTGGCCAACGTGGACGTCCGGAGTCTGCTTCTTCAAACTTGGTTTCGCATGATCATTCTTGTCGATCAAAAGAATCGAGCAATTAACTAAAAGATCACGGATGACTCGTGCCGTATTTCTATCTCGGGGTTTCTAGCCCCCCGACGGATGAATAAAACCTCGTACAGAGTAAATACCTGCTCTACCTATTTCCAGCAGGCCCATGGGTGTCGGCGCTAGATGGCGCGTTTGAACTATGATATGCACGTACTATCCACAGACAGCAGTAGCTCGAGTCAGTGTGCTGCTTAGTTCAAGCCCCTTGATGACAAAGTGACTGCAAACCCCGGGCCCAGTTTCCTCTTGCTGGATCGGGTTTAGGGCGTAGGTCTCCCGCATAAGAGATGACAATCTCACATACAAACGGTGTTACTCTCTCGCCTTCGCACAGGCCACCTGGGGTCTTTGCTTTGTCTATCCGAACATGACGTACTCCCCCATGGATCGGCAAGCGATCGAGACCGACGGAGACCGGCGAGAAACGAAATTGAATCCACACTTTAGCGAGGTTCCTAACCGTCTCGACAAATAGGGAGCTTCGCCATTTAAAAGAGCTAACAATGCTCTGGACCACTCCCAGTCGATAGTCGATCCGGGGCGGTAGTGGCACAATTTAGAGCAAAAAGGGGCCAGGATTGTCGGTTGATCCGCCCAGGGGTTTGCCCTCTGGTTCGTCCCCCGATAGCGTCCCCGGTCAGCCCCAGCCACTTGGTGAGTGATACTGTGTGTAACAGGTAGTGTCAGGTGGCCGGTTAAGCTCGTCTCATGTTTGGTTTGAATTGAGATATTGAGATATTGAGATATTGAGGAATAGGAGAAATAAAAATAAAAGCAGTAGATCTAAACAGTACCTCATGCCATATCCAAGCCCGCATAGACCAAGTGGGTCAGCACAATTTCCTTGAAGCTTGGAGACTCCAAAATTACCGTGTGGGACTGCGGGTACGGCTTAACGGAAGACCGCGGGATCATCGATCACAGCCCACGCCAATAGCAGGCCGCTGGTGGAAATGGGCACCGTTTCTTAGCCCTAAAAAATGAGAAAAGAAAGGGGCGCAACCGTGCACAGGATTTTAGCTCCAACCTTCAGGGCTGAGTCTTTGAGTTCCTGAGAGATTAGGTGTGTCTCGAACACTCAATCCCCATACTTCGATCCATTGAGCAGGATGCTATTGGTTCTAACCCTGGTTTTTCCGTGTCTTTATTGTATAGCTGAATGGACCACCTACGGGCTATCCCGATTCTGGTAGCACTCTCAAAGGAGTATAGACAGGTTTGAATTTTCTTTTCTTGCCTTTTCTTTTGGATTTTTATTATTGTGCATTGTCCAGTAAACCTCCGAAGTTGGATTTCTGTACGCCCATCATTTCACCTTCATGCAAAGTCACTGCGCAACAATCGACACGATGCTTTCCCCTTCCCGTTGATCAAATTGGCGCACATTGTAGTCTTGCATACGGAGTACTCCGTACTCCGAAGGTGAGAGCCTCATGGGCCAGTTACCCGCCCCTTGGTCATGGGAGAACACAAATGAAAAGACAAACTCAAATCCTCGATATCAAACTTAACACCCATTGTTACCATGGACGGTTACCGTTATTAACTCCGAGGATGCCCAATAACCTCCGAGAATCGTCCTTGAGCACTCGTGCCGGGAGGTCTCCACCCCCGAAGTATTCCGTACAAAGAAGGGTACAAATGACAAGGGTAGCAGAGTATAAAAAATAATTAAACCCAAGAGCCACCTTATAGAAAATGGGTGCCTAGGCATTAATTTAGCGTTTCGGCCATTTCACATGAAGCACAGGGGCCAAAAACCAAAATGCTTGAAAGGATTGTATGTTGTAGTGACATGCATCGGCCGGTGTCAGAGACCGGAGAAAATTGGGAGAAGGTTAAGGCTTGCATCTATCTTTTCTTTCTTTTTTTTCCCTTTCTCCCTCTCTGCGCTTTTGATTTAATCTTTTTCTCGAACCACAGCTGATTAAAAATTGCCAAGATTGACTAAGATGCCACTAGAGAAGTTTCGGGATAGAGCGAACCCGGGTGCTGGCCCGCATTGTGAATCTCAACTCGATTGGCTATTATTACGACGGAACGATGGCTCTTCTAGCGTTAGCGTCTAAAAGAGGGACTCGATCGTGCGTCGTTCTGGGATGGGTATATCAGAGGGGGTTTTTTTTTATAAATCTCTGTCAAGCAGCGTGGCCGACTCCGTTCGGAGAACTAGTTCGTGAGATCGACAGGGTTACACTCCCACGAACTCAGCCCAGAGAGAGAGAAAATACTAAATGGGCGCCGTTAGGCTGTTTCGAGTTTATTTGGATGGAGAGCTGAGTTTTCTCTTTAGACAATTGGGCCGTGGAAAGAAGCAGCTGAGAGGTCGGTGTAACTTACTGGATTTACTAGTACGCGTCTTTAAAAGAAGGAAATTGATTTCCTTTTTTTATTCATTCATTTACTCTTTTCACGTATTATTCCGCCGATCTTCGATATACTCCGACGAGAATTTCTCAGCCCAAGCCGTACCTGAAACTGGCCTCTGCACGATCCGAGAGCAACGTCAACTAGCTTTCTTTTTTAGCCTCGAGTCCATCCCGAGGTCCACACTTCAATCTGCATGGGTCAAGTACATATTCTAGACTTTGTGGTGGGTCGATGATATTCGATTTAACGTCAGGGCAAACGGGCTGGTAACTTGTATGTTGAAGTACTTACAATGTGTACAACGTAGACAGTCAAATTGGCCTTGTATATACGGAATAAGTTATAGTAGAGAGGAAGGAAAAAGCTCTCTTCCTTCTATTATTCTAGAGTCTACGGAGTATAGAGAGTCTATAGGATATCTCCCTGACAATCACCATCCGCCTGAATCCCAGGCCTCAAGAGTGATCTTATTTACACTTTGCAACATATAAAATCAATTACATACCTCAATGGACGTATCACGATCGCTCCATCGGATCCGAGCAGTCCAAGCCGTTGCAAATCCCCTGGCCCTAACTCTGTATAGATTCACTCCCCACTGGAAAGCATGCCGTAGCACATCCTTTCCCCACTTGCACGTCTCTTTGTCTGCACATCATCCCCAAGCGTCTATCTCTCGATTTCTCTCTTTGATCTTGGCTTGCCTGATGACACATTTAATTTCCAAGAGGCTCGGATGTTTACCGGACTCGAGGCAATCTCCTGCATCCATCCTGGTCATTATTACACCTTTCCCGCTAGTTACCAGATCCTGATACGCTTTGCTCCTGGACGTCGTCTTTTTTTTATAAATTGGTTTTCCCTATTGGGCTTTTATTCTTTTTTGCATTTCTCCATTTTCCTCTTTCTTTCCTTTTTTTTCCTTTTTTCTTTCTTTCTTCGTTTCATTTTCTCTCTTTTTCCCAAGGCCCTTTTATTCGAGCTCGAGGTTTGTCTTCGAAAGGAGTAAAATAAGAATGGAGATGGGTGCAGCTAGATAAACGACCCTGGACCCCCCACTTGCCTTCACATTGACACGGTCCCCTGAACCCCAGTCACCTAGTGTGTCGCGCAGCTTTCTGTTTAGCCTCAGTTCGGGATCGCCCGCGTGGTTCTTACTTTTTTAATTTTCCTTTTCCACTTTCTCCCAAAAGGCACCCCATCCCAGTTCTTTCTTCTCCATCTTGTACTCTTTTCCAAGTTTGCAAGATTCTATCCTGGGCCGTGAGAGAGGTCGTTCATGACCGGCATGGTACAGCCCGACCTTGGTCCTCCAGCGACGAAGTACAAGGAAGATTCGATTGATGATCCCGTGAGTATCATTTCTATTGGTATCTTTTTCCTTTCCAGTTCCCGCCTACCCTATAGATTTTTTGTGAGATCTTTCCTACTTTAATATCATTCCTATCTTTCTTGGTCATTTATATGTGGTTGCCAGCTCTATGTCCAGTGGGGTTATCTCTTCTCTCGACTATCTCTCTTTCGTCAACCTGGATCTTGTGGGAGCACCATGGTCAATACCCCAACCAGACAGCCTTCAACTCAGGATGCCGACACTGATTGATTTGGGGTCTGTTGGCCATGACCTATGGAGTTTGTCCCGTTTATATCTCTTCTGAACCCACGAAAGCCCTGCCCTGACTAGAGCCTCACTACGAAGAAAATGTTTCAATTGAGAGGAGCAACGGAAAACAATGCCCAAAGTCCGTGTAGCGGATTGGGAGTGATATCTACATGATCCAGCTTCGAGTGCTGTGTCCCCCGGAAGAAAAAAGAAAAAGAAAATCCCACTCGCGATATCAAGGACACATCAACGCTACACAGATCCATGCTATTCTTTAGTCCTGGACGGACTATCCCGGCTATACCCTGGCTCATTTGTTACGCACCTAAGGCTATCCCTGTTCGAGGATTTCCATTGATCTGTGGCCCAATCCAACCCCCCACCTCTATGATGAGATTCTGCATACCTGCAAGATTCAAATTCCCACGCTAGACCGGAGGGGTCATATGCTGATGTCACTCTGGACACGTCTGGTCGTGTTTACAAGTTTCCTTTCTTTCCTACGTCCACGTTCTCAGCTTGTAGCACCGTGCATTTTCTGGCTCGAATCTTGCTTGTCGTATCTTTCTGGCATCCTTTCTGGGCTGGCTATCAAAGTTCCAGTCACTGATGTGTATTTCTGCTACAGCTTCGACACGGCAACTCTGGGCGTTCCGGTTCTCAACAGCCTCAATCTCGATCAAATCTAGCTCAACCACAGAAGCAAGGCCCTGCCTCGCCTGTTCAGCCCTCTCGCTCTCTTCCGCCTACCACATATCCTCCCCCACCCCATCAATTAGGAAACGAAGTTCTCCATCATAATCACTACGGACCGCCTCCTCAAGAGTCGCCCTACTACACCACCCATTCCTCCTATACATCGACCCCGGCGTCGGCACATTACCCTTCTAGTGGTAAGCCAGTTCTTTTTGGCAGTGGGAAATCGTTGCGTTGAGAAGTGACGCACCTGTGCTTGGCTTTCTGACGCCCTTGGCCCATTTAATTCTTATCAAAGACATCAACTAATATTTAGGATTAGGGCCACCTGACCTCATGGCCTCTACCGCTCAAATGCAGAGACCTTATCCCTCTATCTACCACACCCCTCAATCAAGCTCACCAGCCTCGGTAGCTTCTCAGTCGCATGAACAACATGGCCGCAACATGTACTCGTCACCCCAGATGCCACCACAGATGTTCGGCTATCCTCCATACTCGCCCATGAACCCAGTTCAGCCCTCATACGGGGCCAACCATTCTCCCCAACAGCATCCTACAACACAGCCATTGATGATGCCCCCTCAGAAAGCCCCATCCCAAGGGCCACCACACCAATCCACCCACCTCCCTACGTCCGGCATGTCCAGCAGCCCCATCATGAAACTCGATGCCTCCCATCCCAGTTCTTCACAGCAATCGATGCTGAACCCTCCTCTCACGGCAACCAGCAGCCACCCCATGTCTGCTAGTAATCCCCACGCAACCCCATCACTAGGCGGCAGCACCTCCAGCGCAGCACCAGGCCCCATCCCAGCCACTACCCCACTGGTCGTGCGACAAGACAGCAACGGCGTGCAGTGGATCGCCTTTGAATATTCCCGAGACCGGGTGAAAATGGAATACACCATCCGCTGTGACGTGGAATCCGTCATCGTGGACACGCTCACGCAAGAATTCAAAACCGAGAACTGCGTGTACCCGCGGGCCTGCTGCAGTAAAGACCAGTATCGCGGGAACCGACTGGTCTACGAGACAGAATGCAACGCTGTCGGCTGGGCGCTGGCCGAGTTGAATCCCGCGCTGAGGGGAAAGCGTGGATTGATCCAGCGTGCTGTCGATAGCTGGCGCAACAGCAATCAGGACCCGAGACTGCGCAGCAGACGGGTTCGCCGTATGGCTAAGATTAATCGAAGACAGTCGGTTCCCGCCCAGTCTCATATGCCCCAGCAAGGCCCGGTTGGTCCATCTGGTCCGCCTGGTCCGGGCATGAATGCTATGCCGGCTCCTGTTCCCCGTCCGAATTTGGGTCCTATGTCGATGGGCCCGCCGCAGATGCATCATCATCATCAACCTGATGGTAATCCTAATGAGGAAGTTAGCGGTATGTTTCACCACATGTGATGTACTTTGTGCTTCCGGTGTTTTCCTTTCTTTTTTAATTTTCAAGAGCGGCGGCTCACTCATGTATTCTCTTCTGGGGCTTTTTTTGGACCGGGTCTATGTGTGTATGTGTATATGGGGAGTTTTGTGTCTTGTCAGGTCCCATCTGTGTGTGTGAGGATTGTCAACGGTTGGATGAGATGTGTACTCTCTCTTGTATCCCTGCCTGGTCCGCCTGTGTTCTTATATGTTCTATTCCATACCCTGTTCAACTTCACTACTTTGTCACCTTTTATCATTTGACACCGCGCTTCTTGTGCTTTGGCTCTTCTTTCCTTGGAACTGAATCTCTTCCCCGACATGGTTGTACAGCGTAGGCTAATTATCCCAACCCCCATAGGCACAGAATACCCAGGCCACCGAAGCATGGACACACGCCTCCCACAGCCCTCAATTCCCGACCTCCGCCCCGTCCACATCTTCCACGACACCCCAACAACCCTAACCCCAAGCGGCAGCTCCAGTGGCCCCTCTATGCCCCCTCTACTGCGCGACAACAACCTCACCTCACTAAGCCGCCACACCATCGCCACCGCTGCCCGCATGGGCTCAACCAACCACGACATCGACGAGCAAGGCCCAACCAACGAAGATCTCTTCAGCCACCTCCCAGACGGCAAACGCCGCAAATTCATCCTAGTCGACGACCCGCAGCGCGGCTGCCGCGTCCGCGTCAAGGTCGTCCTGGACAAGGTCAACATGGACGAGATCCCAGACTCCTACCGCGAGTCCAACGCCGTCTATCCGCGCACCTACTTCCCGATCCAGATGCGCGACGAGAACCGCGTGATCCCCGCCAAGCGATTCTTCCGCGATGACGCCGAGCAGGCGGACGACCCCGAATCATCGACTTTGGGTCGCACGACCGTGCCCGCGCCGTCGCTCGACGCCGACGCTGAAATCGACGTGCCGAAGATCTCCCGCAGAAAACACCACAAGGAGTTGATGCTTAATGACCTTGGCTACCGTATGAGCTGGAGTCAGAGCCGTGTGTTTGCGGGACGGATGTTATTTTTGCAGCGATCGTGTGAGTGTCTACGTCTATTTGTTTTTTTTTTCTTGTTTTCGTCTTTATTTCCCATTGGGGATTTCTATTTTCGACATCCACACGTGCTTGTGGTCAATCCATGGATTTGATCTGACGACGACTGAGACATATGAGACATATGAGACACCGCTAACCGTTTGCGAATAGTGGATGCCTACCGTGATAAAATGCGAAGTAGTATGATCGCTGCGGGCCAGGACGCCGCGGATATCCCGGATCATTTCGATACTCGTCGAGGCAAGCGACGGTTCCTGGAGCGTGGGCGTCGGGAGTCGGAGAATTCTGCGCTGCGGAGTGCGGAGGAGGTTGAAGGGTGACGAGATGATTTCTAATATTTTCCGTTTACTTCTTTTTCTTATTAGTTCTGTGGTTTTTCTATCTTTTTTTGGTTTGTTTATATCGTTTTCGGCCGAGGTATGCGACAAGGGCGTTGACGGTTTGCGGAAAAACAGTCAAATTCCAAAAACAGGAAAAAAGGGAGATACGATTGATATGATCTGGATATGCCTCAGATGATACCACGACTTTGATTCACGTTGAATGAGACATGTGTGTTTATATAGAGAAATGAGCTGACAGTTGACTGTGTTGACACTGACGTTGGCCGAAGATAAAAATAGCAACGCAAGGGACTCACATCCACTGTAATCCACATGGGACCCTGGAAGACCCTGGAAAAGAACCCTGCGATGATGGAATGTATACTCTGTAACCACGTTCACGTCAACGGGGAGAATAGAAAGACGAATCATAGCAATATAATAAAATAAGTACTCCATAGCCCTGGGATTCTCATTCAGCGTGGTAATTCGAAGCTTCCCCGTTGTCCCGGCCAACGCCTTTATTTATCCCGACCTTTGTACTCTCGACTCGTCTCTTCTCTCTACATTTCTTGTTTATTGTCTTTTTGGAGAGATTCGAAATCCCTTGGTGTGAATTCGGCGGAATTCAGCTGCATTCAGTCTAAATTTCTGCCTTGGCACCTTCCCTGCATTTTTCTCCGTTCGCGGGATTCCTTCACCTTCAGTTCTTTATTATTCAAAGTCCGGTCCACCCGGACACTTCTCCTCCAAAATGTCAGACTCGGACACCCCACTACCTCCAACCCATCGTTATAACCACGCCTCTCGAGAGAACCAAACCATCACACCCGGCATGGACAATCTCGGTCCCAGCTCGCCGGGCGGTGGCATCAGCGGCATCGCCCTAGGAATCGCAAATACACACAGTCGCCAAAGCGGCATCGACGCATCTCGCGGCATAGACGACGGCTTCACTGGCCCCGCCGAGCGCGAGTATCACACAACCGGCTCAGACACACCCTACGTGCCCTCACCTTATGCCGGCCCGGACTCGTTTCCTGCCGAACACCACGCATTGAATATGGCGAGAGGCGGCGCGCTGGCCTCGCCCGCTTTGCAGACGCCCAGTCAGTCGTCGGTGCAGCTGAGCGATCCCGCACACAGCCCGTACCCATACCCCCCGACGTATTCGGGCATCACTGATGGGCCCTATCAGCGACATTCGACCGCGTACAGCAATGGCGAGATGACGAATATTAACCCCGATGAGATCGTCGATGATGGCGATGAGGACTTTGGGCCCCCGCGGAGTCGAGCTGCGCCTGCTGCTGCGGGTGCCGCTGGTGGCGCCGCGGCTGGTGGCATTCTGACTGGATTGTTTGGGCGAGAGAAGAATGTTGATGTTGCGTATGACTCGGTTCCTGGTGGTGGGGTGGAGAGCGGGGGAGCCTCGGGGAGATCACAGAGTAACGGAATGGACGGGCGCAAGAAGATGGGCTGGATTGTTGGTCTTGTTCTTGGGTTTGTGATCCTGGGTGCCATCATCGGTGGTGCGGTTGGCGGTACAATTGGCAGCCATCATCACGCGAACCAGTCGAAGGTTGCTGCCGGTAGTTCAGACACTGCCAACGGTGATGTGAAGACCAATGGGGACCTTGGCATGAATTCCGCCGAGATCAAGGCCTTGATGAACAACACCAATCTCCACAAGGTCTTCCCTGGAATGGACTACACACCGTGGGGCGTGCAGTATCCGGACTGTTTGAAATGGCCTCCGTCGCAGAATAATGTCACCCGTGACATGGCTGTCCTGTCGCAGTTGACTAATACAGTGCGTCTTTACGGTACGGACTGCAATCAGACTGAAATGGTTCTTCATGCCATTGATCGCCTCGAGCTGAAGGATATCAAACTTTGGCTCGGCGTCTGGATTGACTCGAACACCACCACGACCCAACGCCAGATCACGCACCTCTACAAGCTCTTGGACGACACCAAAGACACATCCATCTATAAGGGTATCATTGTCGGCAACGAAGCCCTCTTCCGTGCCGGCTCTAGCAAGCAGTCTGCCGAGACGACCTTGATCTCGTATATCAGAAACGTCACGAAGGAGGTCAAGAAGCGCAACCTGGATCTATTGATTGCCACCTCCGACCTTGGTGATAACTGGAATGCTGAGTTAGTGGAGGAGGTGGATGTCGTCATGTCCAACGTCCATCCCTTCTTCGCCGGTGTCAACGTCGACGTTGCTGCTGCGTGGACATGGGATTTCTGGCAGACCCACGACGTGGACTTGACCAAGGGCACGAATAAAACGCAGGTCATTTCAGAGGTCGGATGGCCCAGTGGCGGCGGCAAAGACTGCGGTGATAGCTCGGTCTGTGACGACGACACGCCTGGTTCTGTCGCCAGTATCGAGAACATGAACACTTTCATGGCCGACTGGATCTGCCCGGCGCTGGAAAACGGAACTGATTATTTCTGGTATGTCTTGCTCACTGTCCATTGGTCTATTCAAATTACTAACACTCTACAGGTTCGAGGCATTCGACGAACCATGGAAAATCCAGTTCAACACGCCCGGGAAGGAATGGGAGGATAAATGGGGTCTGATGGACTCGGCACGCAAGCTCAAGACGGGTATCAAGATCCCAGACTGCGATGGCAAGACGGCCTCGTAACGTGCTGTCCGATCCAGCCGTGGCTCTCTTATGGAATCATGATCACGAAATGTTCTCTTATCTGCATAAGTATTGTGTTCTTAGTCTGGATTGTTTTCTGCTCACTGGCGTTTGTCTTTCTCTGATACCATTCATCACAAGGGAACCCTCGAACATCTCACCTCTCATCCTCACACCTTTCCTCGATTTACACCTTTTCCACTTCGAATCAAAATCTCGGGGGTTCCCATCCTGGCGGTCCATCATCCTTCCTGTCTTTTTTTCATCTGCAGTCTTTACCAATTGCTACTCTTCTTCGAGCCATGCTTGATTCTACCTTGCATATCTTTTTTTGGTGCTGTCCATTCCTTTCATTCCCATTTATGAGGATGGTCTTCAACCCCTGTTTTCGGTGGAAATTTGTCTTCGTGGGATATTCACAGGGGTCATTTGCGCTTGTGTTTGCCCGCCTAGCTCCATGTATATCATATACTAGCTCTCCTCGGCCTCCGTGTACATATTAGGTCAATTCATCAATCTCGGTTTACCTGGAATTACCTGTAAAAAAATATCATATCCACCTGCTTTCTTCATTGATCATTCTCTTCTTTTCCTGCAAGCAAGCCCTCGGGTATTATTGTACAAAATATAGGAATAAGACAATAGAAGTGGAACCGTAAGGTCTATAAATGAATAAAGAGGGCAGACTGACCATTCAGAATAACTAGGATAGAAATTGCCTACCTATTGGCTAGCACTTCTGCAAATGCTGCGAACAACAAACCTTTCACTTAGCCAGCAAACAATTTGGTAAACAAGAGAAAGAACAAACAAAGAAATATATATGTGCTGAGGACCCGTAGAGTCAATGCAGAGCGTAACAAACAAGACAACAATAGAAGTAGATCCATAAGTAGGAAGGAACCTCGAGAAAGAAAAAGTCCTCAGAAAAGTCTTCAGACATCAGAGAGCTATCTCTGTTTAAAGGTTCCAAAAATTAGATCGGAGATGAGAATAGAGCCCCTTTTGTTAAGCTCCTGACGGACAATGGAGAACTCAGAAAAGTACGGTCTGTATCCGCAGAGGTCAGACGGAGGGTTTCCGCCGCAACATGCTTCGTGCCCTTAGACCAGGGCCGAAGCTCCAGCCTAGTTTGAGCCTTAAACGAGCCGCGGCAAAGTTCCTATCAGAGTCCTCAGGATTTCCCTTCACTGGACAACAGCAGACGTATATTTACGAATCTGAAGCTGAAGAAAGTTCAAAAAATTGAAAGGGTACTCGACAGAAACCACAGGGTGGAATGTGGACTGGAGTGTTGGGGAAGGAAGAAAGAAAAAGAGAAGGGGGGAGGGGGGGTTTATACTCTCCCAGTGGCTTAAGGTAAATGGGGAACTGGGGTTGGTGACGATTTTTGACCAAAAGGGAAGGCACCTGATCAGGAAGGTCCGTGGGTACGTCGTGTAGTTGGAAGGTGCACACGGGTAGGAAGATCATGATATTTTGACTCCAGAATTACACCAACGCCAATCCAATGCATACCTATTCTATAACCCTATGCATCTTTCATGAACCAAAATCCCAAAAACACTAATATACATATCATTCTGCACCAACGACCTCCTCGACCCAATAGAGCCTCGTATTCCAAAACGCATGCTCAAGTGCTTCAAATACCGGCAAACAATACGACTCAGCCCCATCCACATAGCCTTGTAGTACACCACCAGAGTCCGCATGCTCGAGCGGGCCACCGAACAACAGCCACGGCTTCGACGGCAGCAGCAATTCAAGATGTTTGCGTTCTGCGCCGGGACAGAAGAGCAGTGTGTTTGCTGTGATATGCGAGAAGGCCTCTGGGTGTTTGATGACTGTTATGTTCAGGGCTGCGAGGAGAGATTCATCTAATGTGTTGAAGACAGGGTCTTGGGCGTAGACTTTTATATTCGAGGAGGTGGTGCCTGTCTTGTGGTTAGCGTGTGATACTGTAAATGGCGATAGTCAAAGCAAAGAAGAAGACCAGAAGTGGACCATCCAAGCTATATCCAAAACCAAACCCAAAGGATCGGGAAACGAACAAGCAACTTGATCCTTAATACTCGCCAGAGCAGCAAGCTGATAAAGAGACACGGAGCGCCGATCAACCCATCCATCACGCAAGAACCCACTCGGGCTCCCAAGTCCAATACAGACAACGGCGTCGACAGGGCAACGGGCTGGGATGGAAGGAGCAGCAGCAGTATCAGCATCAGATGAAGAAGAGGCTTTTTCTCCCGCCCTCCTCAGCCGTTCATCCAAAACGCCCGTCAACTTAGTCCAACTCTCCGAACCCTCCCATCGCTCACGATGAGTTCGAAACTGCGCCTGCAGCTCGGATAGCGTGAGTCGACCCGGTGCCTCTGCAGGAGTCAAGACGGGTTCTTCGGGCTGGTCCGAGGAGATCCCAGTCTCGGATTCTTTGACTGCTGTTGTGCCTCGCGGGCGTGCGCGCATTACGCGCCGCACGTTTCCGCCGCTCGCGACATGGGTCCAGCCGTCGTCGTCGGTCACTTGGGTTCGTTTTTGGGTTGGGCGTTTCGGTCGGGAAGGGTGGGATGTATGGGGCATATTTTTATATAAGTATACTTATATAGATAATGTGGATTTTTGACGAACTGGGATATTGTATTGGGATATTATAGGATCGGATTTATTGAAGCTTTTTTTTTTGGAGATGCGGGGGAAATGCTTGGCGGGACTCCAACAGGCTTAGTAAGTAGACTGGCTGGCCCCGAGAGATACTCCGTACTGAGGGTGAGATAGAACTACATATTCGGGTGAAATAGTGAAATGCTTTGCAGGAAAAAAGTCCAGCAATCCAGAACTTATCCTATGGGCACACTCAGCCACTCTGTAAGCGCTCAAGTTGTTTCCCCGAACGTTAGCGTCCCCCTCGGCGCTTCCACCGCTGGTCGCTCAACAAATCATCATGCAGTATTCACCCTTTGAGTGATGGCACTTGCAGCGGATTGTGATGATCCCAGGCTACCCCTGCTCTTCGTCACTCCTCGAGCCAGTCACAGATGCCTCGCCATGCAGTCTCGGTCACATCTGCCTTCCAGGGTTTTGACTCGTCCGCCCAGTGAAGGCCAGTCAGTACCCCTCAAAAAGACCACTTAGCCCTCGAAAATCATGTTTTGGTCTTGGTCTTGGAGTTTCTATGATTTTGGTGTCCATTTACCATTACCGTTGCCCTCCCTATTATCTGCTTTTATTCTGCGATCGGAGAAATCGAGTCTGAGTCTCGGCGACAGCTGAATAATTCCTCAACTCGTGCAACTTGTCACCGTCGCTGTATCTCACCATGAATTTCACACAATCCATCTCGCGATGGGCTTCCATCCTACTCCTGCTGTGCTTGGGTCTGGCGCACGCCCATACCGTCATTACTTACCCTGGCTATCGAGGAAACAATCTCCACACCAACGGCACCATCGAGCAAGCTAACGGTCTTGGTGTTGCCTACGATGCGAAGAATGGCTCATACATCTACCCATACGGCATGGAGTGGATTTATCCATGTAAGCAAGACCTATCTACCCGTCTAGATATCAATCACTGACTCCTTTTTCAAGGCGGTGGTATGCCCAGGTCGACCAACCGAACCAAGTGGCCCGTCAGCGGCGGTGCTGTCGCCTTCCAGCCGGGCTGGTTCCCAGGCCATGCCACTGCCCTGATCTACATCAATCTCGGCTTCGGCGAAATCCCGGAAAATATGAGCCACCCCGTCGTCCCGCCCTTCCTCATCGTCGGCCCGACCAACAATCCTTACCCCGGGACTGTGTGTCTGCCACAGGTGCCTCTGCCGGCCAATATCACCGTCAGCCCGGGTGACTACGCCACAATCCAACTGGTTGAGACGGCCAAGCACGGCGCTTCTCTATTCAATGTATGTTCCAGTCCCCTTATTCCGATCCGGCAATCAATATACTGACTTGTCTAGTGCGTGGACATTGAGTTCGCAGAAGATGGCGATGCGTCTGTGGAGACGGTCACTCGCGACAATTGCTTCAATTCGTCCGATATCAGCTTCGAGTACATGTACACCACCAGTTCCATTGGTTCGGGTGCGGCGATGCTACATCCGAAACTGTCGGCTGCGGCTGTCGTCCCGCTTTTGCTGGCTGTTGCCTTCGGCGTCTACATGTAGATATGTCGGGCTTTCTTTATCGCATTTTCGCGCGCTCCTTGTTTTGTCCTTCTTTGCGCCATACCCCTGGTTTTCATTGGTCTCTGACGCTTCGACATCAGTGTTGACTACATGTCTATGTCTTTCTGGAATGGACTATATAATTGATGTTCTGGGTATTCTGGCGTTGACTGGTGTCTTGACTCTTTCTTTAATTTTACTGAACGAATATATTTGTCCAATTTGTTGACGATCTTGTGGAGTAGGCACTTATTCATTCAGGTGACGCAATTTCAATTCTAAGGCTGAGTTTTGAGATGACCTGACCTCACCATGCCGACATTGACTCATATGATGTACCTCCCCTTGACGAAAACCAACGTTATTGATTCACCCCATCCAGGCCTATCTTTCCTTTTGATTTCAATATCTCGAGACATTCAAGATGTCCACAGCCCCGTATTTATACGGAGAACCACTCCAAAAGGAGCTTCACCTAGAAAAATCCGGAGATATCGCCTCACTTCAAAAACACCGATTATCCCTCTAGTTGAACGTATACCAGGATTCAAACCGTGCTGATATGATGGGGCTATTACGGACGGAACTTGCACTTCGAGAGAACACTCAACGCGAGATGGCTTTGAGAGAGAATATCGAGGGACTCCTCAGGGCACCTACCACTCCCAAGCTAGCGACTCACATCCAGGTTCAGTACTTGCAGATCAAGATTTCAGATCTTTCCAAGGAATATTGGAGGTTAGAACGGGAGTGGTGGAAGATTAGGACTTCGTTTATGGATGGCCCGTTGACTCGAGGGATCGATTATTGGCGCGCGCAACCAAAATGGTATATGCATAGTGTGCTTTGCGTTGATTGTGCTGGGAGGGGGGGTTGCTGTGCCAGAGACTGCGGATGCTGCTATCGTCGCGGTGGGAAACAGTTTTCGGTTGGCCATTGCACAGTGGAATGTTCCTGCTGTGAGAAGGATCGGGGTTTCAAACTCGACAAAAAAGAAAAACCTCGGTTTCGGGAGGATTATAAGACTGGCGGCCGTTGTTATTTTCGAATCAGGAATGCCGCTTTACTTGGGCTGATGAATGGTAGCTGGAAGAACCCGTCGGATCATATTCGAGATCTGCCGCCGAAATATATGTCGTGAGATTGAAACAAGAATATATATGTTTGCTCAATACTCCGTACTCTGAATCTTCTTTGAGAAATGTCCTCTGGAAAGGAAGCTTATGGTGGGTGTTGGTTTGACAGTCTGGACCTTCCCGATTAGGACCGACGTACATATGTAGTGTTCCATAATTGCCCATTCCCCGCCACCCTCGACAGTATTTAACTCGTACCTTAAAAAAAAACCTACATTCCTCAACAATCACAATATGTGGTTTCAAATAGAGCAAAAAAAACGACCACTATGAGATTCGAACTCACAATCTCCCGATGACACTATAAACTAGGAGTCGGGTGCCTTAACCATTAGGCCAAGCGGCCAGTCGTCCTTTTGGATCCACACCTATTCATCATATTGTTGAAGTGGGCCTAGGTGGTGTTAAATCGTAAATCCCGGCCGTTATTACACGTCGGATTTCTTTAATTCTGACACTTCTACTTTAATTTTAAACCAAACTACTAAGTTGTATGGCTATGAACTATAGATGGGTTCGTTATATTTAAGTTTGAAATCCCAATACTCATACTAACATCTTATAGGCTGTTTCACGCGGGATTAGAGTATTCCTGTCTGAGGAATCAGAGCCTGACATTTTTCTAGTCTTAAATTAGCAGAATGAACGCTATTTTTTTCTTCTCGGAATGTCATATACTAGGTACAGATTTAAAAAGAGACCGAAAGGACTCTAGAAAGACATATAAAGCATATATTTCGTAACTAATCACGTCGATCTAAGGTGTAGCTAAAGAATGAGGGAACATAATCTCTTCATAGTGTCATAGCTAGAAGGACAAGTAGCTGTAAAAGTACCACCAGGAGCAAGAATAATAGTACGGAGTAGACATGACGGTCTATAATGTAGCTTCTATCTAATCAGTTCATACTCTTCGGTGATATACGTGAATGTTGCGGCGACCAGGAGAAGTAGGTCAGAGCTACCAGCAGGGACAATGAATAAGAAGCAGAGAGCTAAGTTAGGCAATGGATGAAGTTATTTAGAAGATCTATAACTACATTATGACTAGGCGCTCAGACATCCTGTAGCCATCGCCCACGTGATGACCCTACTCTGCTTAACTCTCATATAAATTCTTAACATATTTCCATATTGGCTTGTCTACTTTAGCCCTCGTTTTTCAATCAATACTTGGAACAATCGACTGATGCCTCATCAAATCACGTGGGTTGTTGTCACGTAAGGTTCTTTCCTTGGACGACATCGCTTCTTGTCATCCGACACCGTCACCGAACCAACACCACATTAAATCAGTACCTGCACCACGCCGTTGTGGGGTTCATGAGCGCCATGTCTCATAGCGAGTCCGACACGGACAAAAGATATGAGCCTTGTCAAGTGTGATTTGACCACCAAGTCGCCTGCGTCGTCTGGTTCGAAGATTCTCTTCACCACTATGGTGTCCCCACAGTCATGTTCGAGCTTTATGTCCTTGTACGGGACATTGACGAGGCGGCAGAATTGCTTGTTACCGCTGGATGGGTCATTGATTCAGAAGAGCCACATACAATTGGGAATGCGGAGGTTGAACTCCCACAGACGCGGCTTGTTTCTCCGACGACTCAGACAACAACTGTTCTTCTTCCGGCTCGAGAGTGGAATTATTCCCTAACAGTCGACTCACTAAGTGACTCACCTAATGACTTACCTTCTGACGATGCACCGTTGACAGCGGAGTCATCACCGGAGAATATCTTTTTCCCACCACTACCAGGCTTCCTATATGCACTGATTGAGAGCTGGCTAGACTGTCCTTATGAGGATGGTATGTTACCGATTCATTTGGCCTGTCAAATCTCCTATCTGTACGACTATGTACCCGCTCTAAAAGAACGATCATTCGCCGAATGAATGAAATATGAACACCGCCAGTTCCACTTCGACGTGTTGGCGGGAATGCGGACAGGCACCATCCCATTCAGAAAGCATGAACGTGTTATTCGAGATGCACTATTGCAGGGCCAGTATGAACTACGGGAATGTTCGGCGTTTTGTGATAATGAAGACCTTTTTGATACAGGGAGGGGTATATCCTTGTGAATAATTCCTATAGAACTTTTCATCGTCTAGCGCTTCAAATGCAAGTCTTTGTTGATTATCACGGGGATTCAGATTGATATGCAAAGACACGGAGAAAACCATGAATAAGACTAAGCTGACCTACAAGGTAGTTACAGTCGATTATATACAAGCAAAATCCAACCTACACGCACATGATATATCGCCCAATAGAGGAAATAATGTAATCTCTAGCAACACCAGCGCAACAGGCTTGTTATTCCTAGCATAACATTTACTACTTGACTTGCAAGATATAACAGACATTAGATCATATTGTGCTCCCTCTTGACCAAGTATATGAAAAAAAGAAAAGTCCCAAAACGGCCAAAACGACACAACATTTCGTTTTAGAGCTCACCGGGTCATAATAAGGGACCGAGCTGGAGATATAAAAGAACGACAATAATACAGGGTGGGAAGGAAAAACGAGGGTATCATGGAAGCGAACAACTCCAATGGGCCACACCGAAGTAGAAGAAGAAGTGTAAGAGGGAGTACAATACCCAGTTGCAGGCCAAGTTTTCCAAGGAGAGCGAGAAAGCGAGAGAAGCGGAATACAGGCCACAGCCAAGATAAAGGGAGAAACAAAGAAAAGGATGAGCCAAAGGAAGCAAACCAAAGGGTGTATATCAGTCATTAGAGATTAGATATAATCGAAGATGGAATCAGGTCTTGAAGGCAAGACAATAGTAGCCATCGTAGGCCGCAAGTCTATCCTCACAGAAAAGGACGAAAAGAGAAAGAGGGAGGAATATAAAGAGGGAATTAAAAAGCGCTTGGACAGAACGTGAAACACGGTGTTTGTTCAATCGCCTGACTCAAAAGGAAGGTTAAACGAAGTCAATTCAGACGGCGACATATGATCAATCGCGCAGCCCGAATGCCTTCCGAAGAAGGGGAAATCGTTTCTTTCGTCCCGACCCAGCGATCACGACGTCGCGCGCCGAAATCTTATTGTCATCGGGGTTCGTGATTTCAGGGGTGGTGTCAATTTTCGGATCTGGTCTGTCGCGGGGTGCCTCGGTCTCTTTCGCAATCAGAGATGCACTGTGAGTGGCATTGCCATTGACAATGACGCTTCCATTGTGTGCTGCACCTGCACCATCAATTGGCGGTGCGGAATCCTGCGTCCGGAGAACAGACGACGGGGCGCTGTGTGGCTGTTCCACGACTGCCTGGAGAGGCTCTTCTTCCTTGCCATTGGGGTGGAGGGGCCAAGAGTCTGGTCCTGTCGACCGGCGTTGAGAATTTCTCTTCACCAACTTGGACGGACGAGTCGGCTCCGAATTTCCGGCAGACACAGTGGTTGTTGTGACGCCGTGGTTCCCATTCACCATGCCCTCGTTGCGTAATTGATCGAGTTCCATACGCGACCGCTCTAGGGGTGTCTCTCTCCGCGAGGAGCTTTCAACTTCAGCTTCGGGAACTCTATGGTCAGAGTTCTTGGGTTTCTTGATGCCAAGTCGGGCAAGGAGTCCTGGCTTCCGACTACGGGGAGGCGTCATAATGAACTCCTCCAAGTCCCTCTGCGACATGCCACGTCGTTTGGCCACAGCTGCCATTCCAGACATACTGATTCCGTTCTTTCCGCGGGAACCTGGCGAAGAGGGCACTGGCTGGGATGCAAACACTGGTGGCGCTTGCTGCTGAGGGCTTTCTTCTGAACTATCGTCCAACTCTGTTGAGTCACCGTCGTCGGCACCTTGGCGACGTGGGATACCGCGGACAGGGCGTAACTTGTTGTTTCCAGGCTCATCTTCATCGCTGGAATCTGCGAATCGACTGGTGAAGACCTGGGGCCGAGCTTCATCCTCGTCATCTGAATTTTCGAACCGAGTTGGACGCGCCGTCTTAGGGGGCGCCTTGGTGAACTTCGCTCTCGGCGGTGCCTTCTTGTTCGTCGAGAAGAACGAATATCGCTCAGCTCCAGTAGGTCCTCGAAGAGTCTTCCGCATTGTCCCATTCGAGGAGCCGGATGAAAGAGGACGATGTTCAAGGGGAGAGTCGTTGCGCCCCGTTGGCGATTGGACGCGGACGTTAGTACCAGCAGCACCGGCTCTCAGTGTCCGTCGCATGGAATGGCGATCTCCGCGCGGAGAAGTGCGTTTGAAGCTGCTGGAGGAATCACTTCCATTTGACAATTGCCGGCGCAGAGTGCCAGGGATACCTGTTTGTCCTCCTACATTCTGGAAATTCGGAGTAATAGATAGAGACAGTGGACGCGGTTTGGCCTTGCCACCTCGCGGAGAAGTATCGTTGCTTGACCACCGAGGATCCTGCATACTAGACGTGCCATTCACATCCACCGACACGGCCCGGGTTCGCGTCGGAGGCTGTGCTTGAAGACTGCCATGTTGAGCGGTGGCGTTGCGAGTTTCCAACTGGATTGGCACTGGCGGGTTTGCAAAACCAAATCCATGGCCAACAGAAGAGGCAGGGGATTGCTCTACCAGGCGGTTGACCGAGGTTGGAGTCGGTGTCACGGAGCGCTCCTCCTCAAGTGCTTGATCTGTCACATCTTGTGACTGACTGTCCACGATGGCGGCTCGACCGATAGGTCTCGGTGTAGCGTCCCGAGATTCACTTGCATTATCCTCGGTCGGCGCCGACCTAGGGGCTGACCGGCTGTCGACAATAGCATTGATGGACCCAAAGCCATCACCGTCCATGTCTTCCATGTCTTCCGCTGCATCGCTGTAGACGCTATCACCGGACTCCTCCTCAGTATCCACGTCTTCCGGCTTTGGATCGGGGCTCGCCGCGGCCTGGGGTCTAGTCTTCTTCGCAGTCGAATTGAGACTGCGGTCTGAGTTGGAGGGAGGGAACCCGCCCGGAATCCTATACTGGTCCACGCTAGATCTCTTCTCGTCAACACTGTGCCAAGTTCCATCTGCCGGGGGCGTAGCCGGCTCGACAGCAATAGCAGGCACAGACAATTCCGAGCGCATGCTGGAGTACGGCTGTTTCTCAATGACGTCATCGGTGACTATGGTCTCTCCTTTGGCCCCTGGCTTGGTATACAAATTCGGAGTATGCGAAGTGCGGTTGACAGACAACTGCTCCAGAACGCTCAAGCTGTGTGGCCGGAAGTATTCATTTGAGAGCGACATATCCGGCCTTGGCGCCAGATCAGATGCAGACGAAGAGCTGGACTCATTGTCACTGAAATCTGGGATTGGCGACCTCTTGAGGGCACCGCCTCGGGTCCCCCGAATGCTACCGAAAGATGGAAGAACTTGCCGGGGTTTTATGACTACATCCCAGTCATCGTCACTCGCAAACTCCGCGTGCGACTTCTTTTTGCCAACACCAAGCCAACCCATACGAGATTTGGCTTTACCGCCGGGCGGGGAATCAGGCGTATATTCTTCCGGCGAGGTAGGAGGGCTGGCTGGTACATTGACAACCTCAGCCTCATCATCGAAACTGACCTTGACAGACTTTTTCCGGGTATCAACCCGGGGTCCTTCGTCTGAAGCCACTGATGTACCATCTGACAGCTCGCTCGGTGGTAGGACGCGGCCGGTTGGCCCAAGCCTCCTATCAGGCGATAAAGAGGTTCCTCTTGAGTGTTTCAAGGCTGATTTGACAGGAGATACTGATCTGAGTGGAGGCTCGTGAACTTGATCACCGGCTCCAGCTACAGAGAGCAATCTGGAAAAACGTGCAGTTCGACCTGGGCTGCTTGACTGACGGTGTGGCTGCTTTATTTGCAGTTCCGACGAGGGCGATGAGGGCACTGGTGCTGACTCTACGTGATCATTAGTTGGCGATGCACTCGTCATCCGGTTTCTGCTTTGCCGTTCAGAGGTATCTTCGACATTCGTATTGTCTTCGGGCTCTTCTTCTTCCCGAACAGTGGATGGCCACCGCTCAGGAAGAGCTCGTGAGGATGTGTGTTCAGCTTCCACGTTAGCCACAACAGGCACCGCGCTACCGGTATATTGGTCCAGAGAATCGGGCTCTATAAGCGAATTGTGGACCTTCCCAGTTCGACCATTCGCACTCGGCCTGTTCATGGGCACGCGAACCGATTGGGCAGTAGCATTTGCGGTGCCAGCCAAAGGAACATGTTTGCTTACAACAGGGCTTTCCTCTAGACTGCCAGATCGCTGTGCTTTAGGCTTCCCCTTTGGAAATTTGTCAGATACCTCAGCAATCGATTCTTGAATAGCATCGTGAAGGCTCATCGGATTGCTCTCAGACATCGTCATCGGCGAGGTAGATCGCGAACCCATTGGGTATGAGAAATTCACTGAATTCCGACTCGTCGATCGTTCCATTTCTGGAACGGTCCCAAGACTAGTCACGCGTTGATGCGTGGTTGGCTGAATCGGAGGCCCTCGCCCATGTTCCCGATCCACACCCCTCACCCCAGAGCGCGGCGAAGACGATGGGGATGAACGCATCGACGGTTCCATACTCACCGCTCGTCGGTTCGGCAGTTTCCGTGGCGAAAACTTCGTCGGGAGAGTAGGTAACGGAGGCACATCGACGGGAAGGGCCCCTGGCCCGACGGGTCCGGAGCTGGTAGCTGGGCGATGGGGGGACTGGTCGCGAAAGGTGCGTGCGCTCATCGAACTATTGCTGCTGGAGCGGCGCAGCGTGGCACTCACGCTG